TATCATGTCTCACCTCTTCTTGCCATATATTCTCGCTTGCTCGCATCTGCATAGTTGCAACCTAAGAGTGACAGAAAATGTACTTTTAAAATTCTAACTCGCAAATATCTCTAGCAAATATTAGATCTCTTCCAATACAAGTCCCTAACTGGTTTAAAACTGTCATGCACTTTATTCAGTTCTTGGCTGAAAATGACATTGTACATGCCTTATATGGTTTCAAATTCAAATCAGTGTTGGAACAAACCTATTGTTTGGGTCAACAATTTTGAAAAGGTATCAACACTAGTTACAATTGTTGGATTATCCTATGGCATAGTGCATAATGTACTAAGAAAGTTTACCAAGGTGGTGTTTCTGATCTGTTAATACCAAGTAGTAACACATTAGTTGTAACCTAATTGCAAACACTTCTTAATGCTCTCAGAGTGGAAAAAATTTATGATCCTGATCCAGACTCTAACCAACAGCGATAATGTCTTGAATCAGTCAATTTGTTCTTCAGATAGTAATTCTTTCAAATTTATTACAAGGATACTTAAAAAGTGGTTTATTAGAGAGGTTGAGGCACACGTTTTAAACGTGTAAACGTGTACGTGTGACGTTCAGCGCCGCTTTCCTGTAAGCCTAAAAGTTTGACAATGATGTTTGGATAGTCGGTGGAATCACGCTCGACATTTCAAACACTATCGTCAAACTTTTAGGCTTACAGGAAAGCGGCGCCGAACGTCACACGTACACGTTTACACGTTTAAAACGTGTGCCTCAACCTCTCTATTGAGGACATGATTGTCACTTGTAGTATCAGAAGTGGCAAGTTTTGGTAATATTTTCTATTTTATGGAAATGTTTTCAGCATGCCCTGAACTGTTACAACAGTAGATCTGATTGCATTTAGACCACTAAATATCTCTTTAGACCAGTGGTTTCCAACTTGTGTTCCAAAGACCCTAGGGTTCTGACAATAAAACTTGGGATTCTGCAATAAAATTAGTTTTTAATTCACAGTTTATTTAAATAAATTTTTCACATATTTTAAAAGTTTTAAAATTATTAATATGCCATAGAAAAAGAGGACCTGTACACAGATTCCGCATGGCTCACACATGTGGAAAATGAAATCCATTGAGTCTAATGGTAGGAAAATCAAATCATGTATTTGACTCTTTGTATTCCAAAACTAGTGTTAATTTCCAACAGATAAACTGTTGCACAAGAAATAAAACTATTTGAATACTTTTGTGTTTATTTAGTGATTCCAAAAAAATTCAAATGCATTCAGTTGTCTCCTTAGATCAGTTCCAACCACATCTGCTGACAAAATCTAATAATTAATGCAAAGGATTATCTTTGTGTTAATTATTAGTTTAAATTAATATTTGCTTTTCCATTATTATTATTTAAAATATTATTTTTGATCTTTTAATTTGTTGTTTTATTCATAAACAACAAATTTTATAAACAAGTTTTATTAATATAAGTTGGAAACTTATATTAATAAAACTTCCAGACAGTGTTGTATAAGAGTATTTTAATTAAGATCACCAGTAAAATAAAAAAATTCAACAACAAAAATAAATGTCAAATTTATTAAATTTTAAACATTATCAAAGCTAGATAGGGTTTCAGATATTTCAAATTTTGCAAATTTGCATTTTAAATAAAAAGTAGCAGACTTGACTATTCTTGCCGTTAAATGATTTTGTTTTATTTTGAATAAGAAATGAAATTAAATTGATACTGCTTCCGATAGCAAATATGTCAAATGTGATCAAAACATTATTTTCATAAATACATAAAATTAAAAAATTATGTATTTGTTAAATGAAATAATCTATTATTAATTATGACAGTGTATTTTAAACACTTATATGCTTATGATTCATATAATATGATTCACAAAACGTTAACCACAAGCATTGTGACCTTTAAAATGTTAGATGTGATACATAGGATTAGATAAAATGTGTTAAATTGCATATGCAGAGTTTTAATTGTATTCAATAATTAAACAGACTAGATAACATAAATACTTCTAAAAGGATAAATAACAATCAGCAGTTGTCAGAGACAAAAATCAACCAGTTCAACAACCGGTTAACTGAGTAACTGTAATTACCAATCAGATTAAAATGCTTGAAATTGAATAGTTATAAAATAAAATTATTTACTTATTGTCTAAATAACAGATCTTAAGGTCTTAAAATATAATAGTTATAACAACTCATTTTAATAGTAACTTATCACACTAACTCATAGATATATTTTAACATTATGTATTGATTGATATTCATCATTATTCAATGAATAGACAATTTAATTCAGATAGTCAAATAAGTTTTACTTTAAGAAATATTTTAGGTCATAATGTGGCCAACTTCAGTTTACAGATATGGAGATGATCAGATTGACCTAATATGTTTCTTAAAATAAAACTTCCTGGACTACCTGACTTAAATTGTGTATTCATTGAGATTATTACAGGGTCAAGTTTCACAAACTTTTATACCAGTTAATATATATATATACAGTAAATTTATTTGATAAGTAATCACAACTCAAATCTTTGACCCTAATTTCTTGATATCCAATAAAGGATACAATCTGTATTCTGTTTCATGCTCTCAAACTAAACATGCTTTCAAATTTTTATTGAAATAATTACACTACCCAATATTTTACCTCAAAGGAAATAAAAGTGGTGTCTTATCAATTTCAATGCCTACATTTTGAAAATCAGCAAGAAAATGTAACATAACATCAGACCTAGAAGTTGACTAAAATATAAGCAACTAAACATTTGAATTTTAAAAGATTTTTAGAACATTGGCAGTTAAATTTTTGAATGTCTTTAGCATTTGCTTTTTAAAATTATTTTGAATATAACAGTAATAAGAAAGATCAGTAGTCTGGCAGCTAAATTTTCAAATATAATGGCAATAAGGATGATTGGTAAAATAATTCATCTTTCTTATTCTAATATCTGAAAAGGACCTCTAAAGAGATCAAAAATGTTTGTATTTGTGAGAAATATAGGTACTGGAAGTTGTATTATAAGTGCAAGTTTGCTCTAACATAATATTATAATTTTCAGATATCAAAGCCCTTAGTACATCAGATATTTGTGCATTACCAATGTAGAGTAATGATGTAACATCAATATTAGGAATTAATACAATAGGAAGCATTTTCAGTGAAGTAAAACAAGCTGCTGAAACTTGAAACTGATAGCCCATGTTCATAAACTAAATGTATTGTTTAAAGTGCTTTAAACTGGAAGTGAGCTTTGTTGCTAGGTTATCGAACAGTTGTTGAGACAGATGGTATTCAAATAAATGTCCATTTATACTCAACAAATTAAATTTATCTCTAGAATTTAATAAGAAGCTATAGCAACCATAACTGAACAGATTACAGTAACTTTTGCTACCATGGTAGGAAGGAATCTGCCCTTGCTGATTTGTTACTGGCTGAAACAGTGCAAATAAAAAAGCAAAACAACATTAAAATGACTTTTACAGATTTATGCTATAATCACATGCTATTTTGTATGGTACTGTACCATTACACAAAGATGTGTCTAGGTTTCCCCCTTGCGTGATAAGAATATTTCAAGGTGATTTTTGAAATCTGGAAAATTTTTTTTTCTATGAAAGTCACCTATTTTAATGCCAGAACATAAATGTATTTTTTTGTTGGATAGTGTTATTGAAATGACCCTTACAACTGTAAATCTTGCAATAACTTATTTAACTAAAATTTTTATGTAACTGAATATAACTTGAAATCTTATATACTGTTTACATTTCAATCTTTTATCTAAATTTTATATATCAATATATAATTTATAAACTACATTTTGATATACAAGATAATATTTTAATTAAAATAGTTGAGAACCAAATCTCAGCTATTATAAATTTGCAATATTATCTTCCTCAAATTTTGCCATATTTGATATTTTATTACTAACTCATTACATTTAATTCATAATTCTTTAATTTACATTCTTCATCAGTATTTTTTTATATTATCAGCATTACACTTGATTGGATAAGCTAAATATTTTATTATTGCACAATAAGCATTATAAAAACAAAATTTTTTATAAATTTTTATTGAAATTTGTTTAACATTTCGTATATATTTTATTCACGACATTTTTTTAACTGGGACAAAGATTCTCGCCCGTCACACCACATAAATTAGTGAATTTATTCATTTTACATTTGCAATTTCATTACATTTTTACGTCATAATCCAATTTAATACGGTATCACTTCGTACGCAATCTAACTTTAAGAATACATAACGCAATGAAGTTTCAAGTATATAATTTATATATTTATACGTATACGAATCATTAAAGCGTGTTGTAAGATATGTAAAAATAATAATAATAATAATATNTGGAAGAATGCCAAAGAGAAGAAAAGAAAAAAAAAAACACAGCACAATTAAAAAATTCCTCCCAAGACTCTAAGATATAATTTTAAGTAATTGCAACATATATAACTCGTCAAGCATAAAGTTGCATCTGTCAAAAAAGAGCATTGCCCTCTTCGTGCGCATTCTAGCATTACGCATTCTACCATTTCTTCACTTCCGGTACACCCATGCTGATGACGACATCGATGTTATTTCCGGTGTAACCTCGATTTGGCTAAGGGCAAAACAATATTTGCTCATACATGGCAAGTGTTCAAAAAATTACCGTTTAATTGTCTATTATACACGAAAGATTTGTGTAATTTAGAAATCGACAATCTTAACGGAATAATTTCTTTCGAAATCTAATCATAAAAATCACGAAATTATAAGGATTTTTAATACTGGTTAAACCTTGTCTACATTATTATTATTATTAAAGATCAAGGACGTTACGAGGCCCGAGACTTTTAAATCTGATACAAGAGATATCAATGCCGAATACCACCATGGCTGCCAAGCAAATTATATACCAGATCCGTAAGCTTATTCAATAGATTAAATGCACTCACCTCCAAACTTAAGTTCTTCGTAATGAGACTACGTAATAGATGGATGATACCTGTTGATAACCGGTGCAATTTGATAATAAATTTCCCCCTTTTAATAATTATAGTGCAACCCAATTTCCATCCGTATCTTTACTAGATACTGTGCCCTACCTGAAGACGTCACCCCGGTGGCCCCCGCAAACCGGATACCACTCGACCAGTGCCAGCAGGAAGATACGGTACAAGGCCATCAGCATGGTGCACGTATAATACACATAGAAACTATCGACATCTGGCGGTGGGTTACATTGTGATCCACGTGTGCGCTTCCGTATTGATCCGTTTTGTTAATTTGTCTGTTGCTTTTTTATTTATTTATTTATTTATTTATTTATTATTTTAAGGAATTTATTGCGGTTCAGAAATGTAACATAATTGTTGACAAATAAATTGTTAAAACAAGTTTGGATGCTTCTAAATATATTGTATTAGTGTACAGTCGACCCCTCCCCCTATAACACTGTTGATAATTCCGTTTTATATGAAATCCGTGTTGTACGAGTCACTTAGATTTTACAAATACGTGTGCCGGGCTGTGAACGGCTCACGTATTTGTATTTGTATTTGAAAGCAGTTTTAAACTGTACGTTGTATAAACTCATTTTTTAATATAATTATATACGTAAAAATTGAATATTTATTAAGTTTATTACAGAGAGAAGGTAGCTATTGTATATATACTGTATATATGTATCATATGAAATTGGGATTGCTGAAATGCGGAATTTGTAAGAATGACTCGAATAAAAATTTGTTCTTACATAAGTTTTTAAGTTACACAATAAAAAAATATTGTTTTTATTAAAAGAAAACTTGTTAAATTGCTATATTGATTTCTTTAAAAACAGTCGACCCCCCTATAACACTGTTGATAATTCCGTTTTATATGAATTCCATATTGTACAAGTCACCTAGATTTTATAAATACGTGAACTGTTCACAGCCCGGCACACGTATTTGTAAAATCTAAGTGATTCGTACAACATGGAATTCATATAAAACGGAATTATCAACAATGTTATAGGGGGGTCGACTGGATTACTGTATGTATTTGACGGAAATAAAAAAAATCAAACCCGAATTTTCTTTTAAGAACATCATTATTTGGAAGTTAAATGATTTCAATACAATTTATTAATAAGAAATTAAGTTATCGTGTGAGTTTAGATACATAATTAAGGATTTTTTTAGCAGTATCACAAAGGACGAGCATGGTTTGCATTCTGAGATGTGTCTGAATTAAGAGTTTTTTTTTTAGATTAAAGAATCCATCCTGATAAAGTCAGCAATATGGATGGGATATGTGGAACATCACAGTCGAATCAATCAAGAAAAATTACAGTGATCTAGAGATTCTAGACTAGTGATGTACTCATGATTTAATCGTGGGAGAGTCGAGTTGCACGAATAAGAAAATTTTTAATACGAATTCAAGAATTTTTACCTTATGTAACCGCTAATTTATTAGTAGTATAGAACTGGAAGACATGACACAATATAAATTAAATATGGATTTTAATAGAGAAAAAATTTTGGAAAATTTTCTAGTTTTTTTTTCTTTTCTTTTCTTTCTTTATAGGGTGCTAAGGCCCCTTGGCTTCCTTTTGGGTGCACAACTGATCTAGATTAGATCCGAATACCGAAAATGAATCTTGAACATTAGATATATCGAGACGTATTGAAGATAGATTCTGGGAAATAATTTAACTAAAATGTCCAGATAAAAGTTTTAAATACTGTACTGTATATATTATATTGTTCCCTTAAAACAAAAATTTTTTCTCCTGTAAAAAATGAAGCCTGCAAGTATAGTAGAAGTGAATAACTTTAGCTCTTAGCGAAGTTCTGTTTGAAGTTGAGTACGCAGATAATTTGCAAGCTGTTCAAGAAACCATCATTCAAAAACTCATTGGTTATGGTAAAGTACACGTTTGTCTGTTGTAAATTACATAAAGATTTTGAAATAATGAATTATAAATACATAAGAAATTTATGTAATGCCTCTATTGGATGACATAAAATTCCCTTTGACTTTATATCCGTTAATACACTTCTGGCAGCGTAAAGAAAGTTTTCGTTGATGATAGTGCCTAATGCCGATATACTAAATTTTTTAATATGGAAAGAGAATCGGAACAGGTGAATATTTATTGCTTGGACGGACACAAAATTCGATTGAGCAGATCCATTCTAATGCAGAATTGCCCCGGGTTTAATTCGAAGCTGTTTATGGACACACTAGGGCAAAGTTGCGTCAGCGTGAACGTTACGTCTGGTATTATGAATCAAGTGATCGGGTAAGTGTTAAAATAGAATTAATTAAGCCTCAATTCCAGTGAAATTACATAAATATTTCTGCACATGGCTTATAACAGAGGAAGAAGTTGAATTCGGGTCTGTCAAAGATGCCATGGATATTTACGAAATAAGTAAAAAAACCGGTCGCTGCCAGATTTTCCTTATCAAAGAAATGAAAGTGGGCAACGTTTGGTCCATTCACGATTTCGCCTGCAAACACGATGATCACTTCGTGCAATTTCATTGTTGGAAGCTGTTTACCTCGTCTTCTGACGAAGTACTGCAGAGTGAAGACTTCTTAAACTGCGAAGAATCGACCGTATCGAGGTTCCTCCCCCCGTCTAATTTACAGAAATACAAAGTTTCCCTCTTCTTGAAAAAACAGTATATAATTGGACGAACAGACGAATTTCTCGGAGCAATTTACAGGAAGCACCCACTTCAAGCAAAAACAAAGAGCTGTGTCGAAGAACTATGCAGTCTTCTTCCATCGAGTGATGATGAAAGGACTAATCTTCAAATCGACTATTCAGCTTATCCAAATCGTTGTTCATGAAGGCAAAGTCTAATTGTTTACTCAGAGTCGACGTTCAGAACGAAGAGTTAAGTCATTTAAGAAGTGGGGCATTAGTAATGTTCCTTGATGGTATCAAAGATGTTTCATTGTTTGAAGAAAGCAAATACAAGAGAGATTTTAAAAGGTGATTTATCGAGATACGAAGATGAAGATTAAAGGCATCTAATGATCCACGAACCAATCTTAAATCTTTAACTTTTGGTGATAAGTAAAGTACGTTAACCGCTTCCTCTCAGAGGGCATTAAAACACTCTGATGTATTTGATGTAACTTACATACCTTTAGAATGGGAATAGCTAGGACGTTGATAGAAAAACGTTGATTTTTGAATAAAAACGCTGACAGCAAAAAAAGCGAAAAAATTCTTTATTAACATTGGTATTGCACAATGCTTATATTAAATATCTTTAATAAGCAAAATTTAATGTTATCTCTGCGTATGATATATTATAAAATATTGCCATAAACACTGTCAAGAATAGGCTTTGGTAATAGCTTTATATTCTTTAACGTTACAATTTAAAAATAGGTCAAATATTTTATAGCACATATAAATTTACACCTAGATTTATGATGTGTTCCACCTTGAAGTGTCATAAATCTTGATATTGCATGATGAGTGCCTCCTGTTATATGCTTTTGTGCGATGTTTTACCTCGTTAATAATTTCTTTTGATGCGGTGCAATGTACTAATGACATTACATTACATTAAATTGAAAAAGGGGGAAATCCTCCAGGCAACACTCAGAGGTACAACCTGGAAGTGGTAAAGAACGGAAGAAAGGAAGAGACATGGGAAGAGTAGGGGATGAGCGTGAGGCAGGGTAAAGTTGAGATCTCCAGGCGCCTGCATCGCATTTATTGAAGATAAACAGAATACAAAATGCAATAAACAGAGGAACAAACAATGCAAAGGTGAACAGGTATGTACAAAGGAGCTGCGCGACGATGGTTTTATATACAATACAAGTATACCGACAGATATCGATAACAGAAAATGGGCGTTGGCAGAACAGGAAAATACAGGTGGACGCGAGTACATTGAACAGTGGATTAGTCCGCAGACAATGAGACACAGTGACGTAGACTCGGGATTGCGGTAGCAAATACTGAGACAACACAAACTGGTACGCGACAAACTGCGAGAGGAAAGGATTTAACTTTTAACCAATCCAATGCAGAAGTAGACAGTTCAAGTGTACAGTGCAGGAGGACGTTGATTAAAAGTCCGAACGTGCAGGATCCTAGCAAAAGTACTTACTGTTGACTGCTGGTTGGGGTGAGAGCTGCTGTCGTTGATAGATAGTTCATAAGCTTGTGGTAAATATCTTTGTGATCAAGGAACGCATTGAGAGGGCAGGGCCAGTTGAAACCAGAGTAGAGAACGCTGCCCATAAGAATGTCTCTGTTGTGGTTATAGAATGCACAATCGAAGAGGTAGTGGATGCTGTCTTGAATAGAGGTGCCGTCACAGTTGCAGATGTCCTCATCTTGGATACGGAAGCGTTTTAAATAGGCATTGAAGTTGCCATGACCAGTAATGAGCTGAGTCATGGCAAAGGAGGGAGAAAAGTGCTTCCACTGTAAGCGGTTGGCGATGTTGGGAATAAACTTGTGCGTCAATCTACCAGTGTTGCCGTTGTCCCATTCATGTTGCCAATGTTGAAGAGCCAGTTCGTAGTTCCACTGCTTAATCTTGGAGGGTGGAATCTTTTCATAACTGGGAGGTAGAGAAGAGGCAGCAGCGGTTTTGGCGAGGCTGTCAGCGGCCTCATTGCCAGCAACCCCCGAGTGGCCACGGACCCACTTGAAATGCACATTGTGATTGTGGGTGTTCAACGACAGAAGGCTGTGGATGTGAAGGACATTATTCCCCCTATTCCTACTGCTGGTAATGGAGCGGATGGCAGTAATGCTGTCGGAGAAGATGGCAATAGTCATGTTATGAGGGAACCACTCTGTATAGATGTAGTCGATAGCCTTTGTGATAGCGAAAATTTCGGCTTGGGGAACGGAGCAGTGAGGCCCCAGCCTGAAGGCCGACCTGTGAGTTTCACCATTGTGGTGATTGCTGAGAACAAAAGCAGCACCCACATTACCCTTGTTCTTAGACCCGTCCGTGTAGATTGAAATGTCGTATGGCCCTTCATGAAGGGTGATATCGCTGTTCATGGCAGGATAGTCCATGGTCGAATTCAGGTTAGTGTCTTTATTCTCAATGCCATAAGATGTTATGTCTTCCTTGACATGATCGGGAAGGGCAGATAGGGCAGCATTGTGCCTGGTGGTATTGTAGTAGTTGTTGGCAGATATGTTATTAATTGTCCAGATGTTCGATGCCATTTTGGCCTTGATATGCACTGGGA